GGGGGGGTTGAAAAATGCAGGGAAAATACCCTTTTTATTTTCTTCTCCTTTTTTTTTTTTTTTTTTTACTGTAAAGCCTCTGTTTCCATAAAGCCTTTTCCATGATTCTGCCAAAATAAGAGACTGTAACTTATCTTTTCACTTGTGAGTGCCCAGAATCTTTTCATTTCTCCAGCATAACTTCATCAGAAATTTTCCAGTAGACCTTCTGTAAGTACATGCAGTACGGAGCAGAATTAATATGTCTGGCCTTCAGGTACTCAATGTAAGAAATCATTATAAAATTCCTCATTTCATGAAGACTATCATGAAGCACAGGGTAGCATATGTATACATTAAAGTTTCCTGAATTACAGGAAATAATACAAGCACAAGTACCTCATTTGGTTTCTTTCAAAGTATAAAGTGCCAGTAAAAGCAACTCTGTTTTGAAGATATGCCTGGAACAGATCTGTATGCAGTATTCTGTATAACAAATTTCAGTTTATTCTCAATGTACAGACGTAATGAAATACAAATGTGCCAATTCTTAAACTTAATTTTTTTTCTTTTTTACCCCTCTTTCCCTCACAGGTTACTGAAAATGATATTGTAATGGCGGAAAGGCTCTTTGGCATTCTGGCCTACGTAGCATCTTCTGAGCTGCCACAGTATCGCGTGCTTTCATTACTTGGGGAATCCAGGTAACATACAATGAATGGAACTGGAATTTTTCCAGACCGTACTGTTTAATTCCTTTGCGCAGTAGGTAAAAGTATAAAAATTTCACAAATAACACCTTACAGAAGATAGGTTCTCCGATTATTGCAGAAATGTTAGCATCTCCTGCTTCTTGTAGCCAGAGGTTTTCACAGAAGTGGTATAAAGTCTGCTGCGTAAGATTAAAAGGTGCACACACACAAATGTACCACTTGTTTAATTCTCCAATTATACTGGGGCTGGTGAAGATTTATGGACTCTCACAATGAAGACTGACTGGTTTTAGTGGATATTTTATAGTGGGTGACTATAACAGTTAACAGATTTAAGAGCTGGTGCTGTAAGTAAAAAGGTGCTTAAAACCCCCTATTTTTAGTCTTCTATAGATATGTACTTCATAGAAGTTCAAGCTGCAAGACTTCTGTTTAGGAGATGCTATGTGATGTATGTCAAAAAGTCAAATGTATAGAAGCAAATTAACAAATGGATATCTAGAGTCATGTATTTTGAGTAACTTGAGGTTGCAATAAACTTGATAGCTCATAAAGTACATTTTCAAAGGGAGAAAAGAAAAAACCAACCCTCACAATCACTAGAAACATCTGCACTTTAAAAAAAATCCAGTAATTAAAACTAAATCTTTTTATTATCTTTTCACAGGAGGAAGCAATTCCATTATCTGCTGGAGGGAAAGGGAAAGAAATCTGGGACTGGGAGTGAGGAAAGTAGTGATAACAGAAGAAATGGAGGGGAAAGCACAACTCGAGCAACGTTGAATTACACGACAAAGGATTTTCATATGGAAAAGCTTGAGGTAAGTACATCAATACAAAATACTTTCATCGTCTATTATATAACCTTAAACTACTACTCACAGAATTTGTCTATATATCAAGTTTCAGTTGCACTATTGAGAATGGTGGTTTTAAAATATCACCACTTACCATATTTACATGCCTGATGAAACACTTCGTGTAACTGATCTTTGCCAGAACACTGGATAATGGTCCGTTTCTGTCTTCAGTGAAGTGATTCCTGAACTGTGCCACGGTCTCAGAAATACATTCTCACCTACAAGCCTTATGTTCTTAAAGAAATGTACCTGCGTTAGTAAATTAGAAGAAGTAAGCACAGTTTTTGTTACAAAGAAGAATGTGTATTGCACGTTAGGATTTTCTAATGGAATTAGAAAGTCAGAAACTATATCCCAAAGTGAATTGATGAACACCTTCAAACAAGATTTGAGAGAGTTCCTTGTTACTACAGCCTGCACTGTTTTCTAGCTTTTAAATGAGCTAGAGGAAAGTAAGTATATAGGAAATGTATTAGGTTTAATTATTAATAAAATTGCAAGCTGGCTTGTTTCAGACAAGGGCATCAGTCACGCTTGTTTTAGTTTGTGTTTCTGATCTGCTAATTCTTTTGCTTGGGTAGAGGGAAATTGTTCCCAGGGAGAACGTGCTTCTTTCAGCCACAGTCTCCTTTTGGAGTCGTAGCTGCGTGCACCCCGCTTCCCACATTTGTCCTGTTACTTGCTTTTTGATTATGTGGAAATATATAAATCCTCTAGTGCGAGAAATTAAATCAAGTTCAGTAAGCACTGAATTCAGTTATTCCATTGTGGTTTTGTTATCTCAGGTCCATAGCATAAAAAAAGAGACAGTGACTGCATGTGTGGAGAGATTAAATTAAGAAAACATTTTAGTTTCAAAAGCTGTGATAATAGCTCTTAACCTCAAATGGCAAAGAGTAAGACCTCTTGTCCTTTACCATGGACCAAGCACTGTAATAAAATAAGCTTGGCATTTGTACAGTCCATTAAATACATGCGTTGGTTTCTCTTCCCAGTTTAGCAAATCACATCTTGTCCTTTTTTACAGCATTATGTATGTGGCAGCAGATATTGCAGGATGTCACAAGAGAAGAAAGAGTAAAATAGGCAAAAAAAACTGATTCCAGTTTCCCATCAGCAGCAAACTAACATAAAAAATATGATTGAATAAGTTTATTGCTAAAGATGACACTCTGAGTCATTGATTAATAATTTGGTATTTTAGATGAAACAGCTGGAAAGTATTTTCTCTGCTTTATCAGTCATTTAAGAAAACTTCTGTTTTGATGGCCTAAAGCATGACCTAACATTTTTAACAGTGCCATAAATCAAACAAGTTAGATATTTAGCACCTATGTAACTTACTGTTTAAAGCTTATTATGGTGTTTTATAGAAGCTCTGTCTGAATGGGGATTAATACAGTTTGAGTGACTAAAATGCAGAGCTAGTAGTTGCACAAAGCACAGCGTGTTTTAGTTTTTTTCTATTATTTAAAGGTTCAGGTTACTTCACTATCTAATGTAGTATTTGTTAGGAGCCATGCACTTGCCAGAGTCCATCAGGGAACCTGTGGAAAGGGTGCATACTGGCATATTTTTCTGTGACAATATGCGTAGTTCTTGTTAGGGCAGGCAGGTAAACATGTACTTTCCAACTGCTGTACTGGGAAGGGAGAGAAGGAAGGAAAGTAGTCTGATGCTTAATAATTTCTGTAAATATTGACTGCTATACCAGAAGGTGAAAATAAATAATCATAATGCTGTTAAAAGATACTTATATGACTACTTAAAAGTGGATTTCAGATAAATTAATTAGTGAATGTAATATGAATACTACGAATACAGTAAGATTCTGTGACCACACTCACAAAAGCTTGACACAGACCCTGGGCCATGCAACTTAAAACCAACAGGAAAAAGCATGCAGTGGCCTCTTTGCCTACTAATCCCTACATTCTTTAATTCATTAAATTTTTGTGGTTGTTTTTTGGGTTTGCTCTTGTTTAACCTTTTCTTCCTTTGTCTTACACAATGTGTAATGGTTCTCCCATGCAGGAAATCAAGGAAAGGAAAACATTTTGCCAGACGTACGTTGAGAACTTAGTGAAAGAAGCAGCTGACATCAATATGAAAAACGAGTCGTTGCAGAAGCTCTGGCCTCAGATGTTCATTGAGCTTGTCAGAGATGCAGTGATAGAAATACGCAATAAAAATTCCTACATGAAACTCTGCTTACAGCGGATCACTGATCAAAAACAGTAGAATCAAGGCTTCTTGTCTTGTAAGCTTTTGGGTTCAGTATTCTATGATGTTTTACGAACTTAAAACAATAGAATATAAAATTACCATCACTATGGCATACTTCATACCCCACCCACCTCCCCAAGGGATGCCTTTAAATCTTAATTAACTCTTGACAGTTTTGAAATAAAAGTTTACTTGCATACTGCTTTAACAATGCTTCATTGACTAAAGTGATGAGATAGCATAGAATTAACTTGGTGATTTTCATGTTTTACTAAGTTCTTGTTTACTTTTTTCTGCTACCTTTGCTTCTGTAGTGCTACAGCATTGATTTTTAAGAAGCAAATTTACACTCTGCTTGCCTTATTTTCTATCGAATACTTCAATTGTCACCTTTTTGACTGTTTGCTGCTGTTTAAAAAAAAAATCAAGAATAGTAGCTGATTTTTTTATGAGCAAAAGCTAATAAATTATTTTTACACCCTGAACTTGATGAAGACTTATTATTGCTTAATTTGTGAGATTATAGAACACGTTTTCTCATCAATGCCATCACAGTGCTCAGTATATTGTAATGTAATAAACCTAAATCTCAACTAAAAAAATTGCCCAAACTTGATTTCAAGTTTTTAATTCATTTAATTTGTATTAGTTTGTGTGAATTATTATAGGTAATATATGAATTTGAGATAAACTCACTTAAGCTTTATTTTTGTTCTGTTAAAATATGTTAATATTATTATTTCTTTTGTTCCTTGATTACTAAATGATTACTTTTTGAGGTTTGCCAAGGTCCAAGGAGCTAAGGTGCATGTATGACATTTGGTAAGGAAACTGATGACTACTGTTCAGTTGTAATTAATTTCTGTGACTGTGTGAAAATTTCGTATTTGTTATCAATAAAAATAAATTATTCACTTTTGCACTTCACAGATACTGTAAGGAAGTGATGTGTGCAAAGAAAAGCCTTCTCCTTAATGCTGCATGAAGAGATGAGACACAGCTTGCCCCCAAAATCAACTCTGAATGGGTAGAAAAAACACGTTCCATAGCACAATAACTTCCACAGTAAACACCTTGCCAGCTTCTGCCTAGAAACTGAATGTAGGAACTGTTAGCAAGTCCAGCTGATTCCTGTGCCTAGTGTTCATATGCAGGTAGAAGATTGTGCCATTTAAACTTAAGATAAAATGGACCTATAACATTAACTCAAGCCAGAACCACATGCATTCTTTGTCTTAATTCAAATTGATTTATTTTACTGAAGCTCATTTATAAAAAAGAAATGCTTACAACCAAGGAAAACTTTCTGCAAGGTTTTCTATGGCTCAAAACTAAGTTTATTTTTAAACTTTACCTGTACAAGACTCTCTGGCAAAGCAGAGGTGCAAATACAGTTTTGCAAGTTTCTATGTCCTGAAAATAGCCTTGAATGAGCAGCAGGTGTCAGTGGACGTAGGTATTTTGGAGTATAGAGTCTACTTCCATTCAGGTCAAACTGGTACATTTTAGTTGTCAGAAATAATCCGTTTTCAGAGCATGTTGCAGGTTAACACTGGCACGCATACTGCTAAATTTGGTTCATGTTATATGTGATCTTCTAAAGCATACTTGCAGGTAGTTCCTTTTCAGTCTTCACAGAATTTAATGGAGTTTAAGTCACTTAAATTCTAAGGAAATGTTAGAAGTCCTGAAGAAACCACTCCAGCAGTTGATGGAATTTAATAGAAATATTCATCCCCTCCAGGATTTTTGAACTGCTTCATGGAATTTATAGTGATTAGTATACTTGATAGGATTTTTTTTTTCTTTCCATTGGAAAATTGCACTCATAGGTTTTATAGTGCATTTTATTAAGGGAACAAATTAACGTCCTGCAAAATGTAGGAAAAAGAGAGTTTACATTATAGAAATAGTATAGAAATGATCATGAAAAAGTGTTTTGGATCCATCAGTTTACATCATTTCTGTGCAAAGGGGGTGGGTGGAGCAATTCCAGCTTCTGCATGGGGACAGAAACCTCAGCAGCTGTGTGAAAGTGCAGAACTCTCCTGATGATGTAGCTGGAGCAGATGGGCCCCTTTTGAATCAGATTCAGCAGCAATAAAAGACTGGAAAAAAGTGTTTTAAAGAAGGGTGGATTGGTCTGGAGGAACAGGAAGTTCTCCATGGGAAAATCCAGAGAAAAGCCAGACTTTCTGATACTGAGGCTTTAGAAGTATAATCCTGACTGGAGGCTTTAAGGTAGGGTTTTGAAAAAACTAAGTGAAATGAATCGGAGGCTATTGGCTGTGAGTTGTAGAAACATCTCCTTAAAATGCTCTGTATTCCCAGTGGTCTCTGAGTGCTGCCAGTTTGGACTTTTTATTTTTTTTTCACAAATAGCAGCTGTTTCATAACAGCATTGCTAAATGGCTGAAGCGAGGGTAGCAAGACAGCTATTATAAATGAAGGAAAGATTAATGTTGGACTACATACATTTTTTTCACATAGAACCAGTAGGAACAAAAACCCTTGCATTTTTACTAATTCTTTTTAGGAAACAAGTGAATGATGGACTGAAGGGATATTAGACCTAAGAGTACATAGAGTTTTAAGCAGCCAAGTGATCCTCAGATTGTTTGTGTGCTATATATTGTTTATGTGTTTATCAAAATTATTTGTCAATTCATAAAGGCTTGTGGAATACATGATTGTAGTTGCTATTAAGGAGTTACTGAGGACCTAAAAATCTGGAGGTGGTATAAACAGCAAATTCATAGATGTCCAGAAACTTAAGTACTACATATATACATTTTCTGTGGTCACAGGTATAAATAGAGGATTTAAAATAGCCATTGATTTTGAAACTTTTAATAAAACCTTCCAGGCTGAAAGCAGTTATTTTTGTCTACTTCAAAAGCCCTTAAATGCTGCATAAAACCAAATTTGGATATTGTTAATATTTCATTGATATCCTGTCCAAACCAGACTGTTGTGATCCCTTCATGTAACCCGACTTTCTGCAGAGGACAGGAGCTATTATTGTAAAAATTCCATATATTAACTAGAGATAATCTTAAGGGTTAAAAAGATACTATTTTGACTTTTAAGTCTTTGGAAAACTTTTTTTTCCATTGATTTGTGGATTATTTATACAGCTTCCTTATGTTCTGAGATAAATTTCCTCTATGTCCAGACAAGGGCAAATACTGATGTATCTTACTTTTTTCCAGTTTCAGTGTAGCTGTACGGTGTGTGAGGGCCCCGTTATGTCACACAGAGTCACTGTTTATGATGCAACTGAAATGTGGGCCTCAGTAAGGAGGTGGCTGAAGAGCTGTGTTTCATACACTCCTTTTGATACAGGATTGGAAAAAGTAATAGAGCTGCAGATACACCGCCCCAGCGGAACGAAGGGAGAAGTCATTCACTTGATGCAAACCAAAAACGGATTGTGACAGTTTTAAGGAAAAAAAGGTACTGGGAAGAAGTTTTAACTGAGCATTGTAAAGTGAGTAAAACTGCCTGGGCCCAAGTGGTAGGTCTGAATCCGGAAATAGCTGAAAACTTTGTTTTCCGGTCTGTGTAGATCAGTGGTAGAGAAGCGACATATCTTGTTCCACTGCTACAAGTGGTCGTGCTTCTATTATGTAAGCTATTTAAAATAACAATAATAATAATAATAAAAGGTTAAGCTATTAAAACACTGATCGTCTGCAGAATAAGTTAGGCTGTTGTGCAAGCAGTAGTGAGTCTACAGTCTACCTACACGTTCTGCAAATTCAGGACGGGTGACTGTTTGTGTTTTTTTTTTTTAACCAGGGCTGTAGGAGTGACAAACACTGATGCTTTCAGTTGCTACTTTTTATCATAGTGACATATCAGGATGACCTGCTTTTTGTTAGCTAGTATATTTAGAGAAGCTGAGGCAAAGACTTGCTATTTCATATCATTAAGCGACATTCACAAGGATGTGATTTAGATTGGGAGGTGAGTGTGCATATGTGAAATCACAATAACAGCTATTTGTTTTGATTGGGAGAACAGACTACTTGAACACGTTTCTGTTCCCACATCACACGCTCTGCTACATCTTGAAGTCCAGTTTCAATGAAATTATTTTTCTCTTTAGTTTGAGTTGGAGGCATCGGTCTTTGGGGGATTTGTAAGATTTGGTGTTTTGTTACACCCATGTAGAACAAGGAGAGGGAAAAGAAGAGAGTAGCTTTCACTTTGTTCTGCGGTGTGATGACATTGCTTTTACTCAAAAGTGAATATAAACTGATTTTTGCATACTGAAAAGTGTAGGCTGCGCAGACTTTAAACAATTTTACAAATGGCTTCATTGGTATCTGCTTACACACCTCAGAGCTGGATTTTCGTGAGCATGAGCTAACAGCAATTGAATCTAAGGAGCTGTTTATACAGCCCAAGTATCTAATTTTGTTGGCTAGCTTTGCTAGGCTTCTGCTCTCGGGGGAAGAAAGATAAGCTCATCTGGAGGAGTTCTTGTCTCTGTTTACTGTGGTGAAAACAGCATTTCATTACAAGCTGTGTATCAGACCTCATAGGCCATACTTGTGGGGTGGACAGATGCTTCTGCTCATTGTATCAAATGTCAGGAAGCCCTGGTGGAGAACAGAGAAGCCTTCATTAGGGAAAAAACCGACTCTTCTCAAGTTCTGAGTTGTTTGGGTTTCGTGGGGCTTTTTTCAGTTATAGATGGAAGTGTTGCAAGCAGAAACATAGTTGACTGATGTCAGTACACTGAGTGTAAAAAAGCTAGAAAACTGCAGGTTAGAATATTTATACCAAATCCAGCAGTAGAAGTATTCAGCATCCCCAAGAATTGCCTTTGCACAAGACAGCCTTATATTCCTTACTACAGACTACATTGACTTCAGAAGCCCGTATATGTGACTGTTTTATCTAGCTTTTTGGAAAATACAAACTGATGGCTTCATGATTGCTCTGGATTTTGGTTTATTGATACAGTATAAAATACTGTAATCATGTAATTGAGACAGCAGGATCAGATTTCTTGGGGCTGTAATCTGTTAGTTAACAGGATGACAATGCTTAATCCCACTCTTTGTTCAATCTTCCTAATTAGGCAGCCACTTCCATATTAAGCAAAATTTTGTGTGCGATCTTCATTCTTATTATATAGTGCATGGTGTCTAGTATATTGCAACATCCATAACCAGGGTGCTTTCTAGTTTCAGACAAACCATTCCTTTCACTTTTGTTTGACTGATAGGAGTATCATAGAGGTTAAATGCTGCTATTTGATGAACATCATTTTACACCTAACAAATCGGGAACTTTACACAAACACTGAGCAGATCATAAACAAGTTAATTCTTTCTGGAATACTAGACATGGATAACATAAACAACACTAAGCTTTTCAAAGCAGTGAGAATGATACCTTTCAAGAACCAAGGTTAACATGTAGCATTGAGAGCTTAAGCACAGGAGAAGATAGCCTGGAATGACATATGGTTTCCACCTATTTGTAACATATCATTAGACAAGAGAGTGTAAAGTTAATTTGAACTACAGTGGTGAAGAAATTGTGCCCGTCTATGTGATGTTTGCATTACATGCTCACATAGTCTAGACATCTTACATGCAAATAAGGGTGGTATTAAGGTAATTCACGCTCAGTGAAAGAAATCCTAGAGACATGTAGAGAAGCTGTGACTTTACAGTACTAAAAAATGCTGAGTTCATTATATTACTCTTAGAAATTACATTGTGAGATAATGTGCTGTGGTTTGTGTTCTGTATGGCTATGTAGCACGTTTGCTGCTTATTTACATTAGGCTTCAATGATCTATGTTTTCTAATAAAGTAATGATTCTGAAGAGTGATGAAAGAAACCAAGAGCACAGAGTACAACTTTCTTCCAGTTTCTAACTCAGCACTGACAACAGAATCTATTAAACTTCACACAACTGTCATACCTGGGGTAAAGACACATGTTAAAACTCTGTCATTTCACTATGAAGCTTTTGTGTAAGTCTACAAATAAGATCCTCTACGGAAATGTTACTTAGATTCCAAAGAGATCTTAGCAACTGTAATAAAATGTAAACATTCAGGTTTTTGTAATCCAGAAAATGTGAACTGGCTTGTCAGTTTAGAGAGGAGAAGAACTGAGTAAATATTAAAGGGAAGGATTCCCAGGTGTGACAGGTGTATTGGAATACAGAGAGAATAGTGAAGAGAACTTTTATTACAGTGATTTTTGCTTTCTTCTTGAGACTGCACGTGAATGAATGGAAACAGGAATATATAAACTCATGGCAAAAGACATAATTATGCCCTTAACAACCATGAGTATGAAAACCTCTCTTGTGTTTTGGCAGATACTTCTTGTGTTCCTTTGTTGTTGTTTTGGTTTTGTTTGGTTGGTTTTAAAACCACCAACTAACAAACACTGTAATGCTTTTATGACAATGCGGTGAACAACCAAGAGGCTATATTTGAATTTTCACCATATCTTTACAGGTTTTATTTCTTCTGTCTTCAGTATTTACCTATTTGACAGCTGCATAAGCAGAAACATTACACTGTACATTTAACAGTTAGAACAATGCTAATTATTTTATTAGAGGTGAAGCCTTCACTGTCCTGAGGATCTGTGTCTGGCTTAAAAAGTAATCAGTAAAGCAAAAAGTATTTTTTCTCTTTTGCTTTTTAAAGCAAGATATCCAGTCTTTCTTTCCTATTGTGAATAAATGTGTGAGTCTATAGTCAATAACATTTTTCTCTGTGAATTGCCAACACTTCTAGATGTAACTGTAGACATTGAGCTCCATCTATTGCGTATTACCATTTTTCAGCAAAATACTTAAGCACATGCTTGCTTCTAATCACGCACTTGAATATTTCCATTATTTTTTAGGATTTTCCAACACTAGGACTTATTGTAGCCAAGAATATCTTTGATTCTTGGCCTGAAACAAGAGATGCAAGGTTGAAGGCAGCATATTAATTAAGTACATTTATTACTTTAAGTCCTTGAACCAGGTCCTTTTTTATTGTAAAGCCTGATGGAATTAATATATTATCCAAGACAAATCTCGTTATAACCAAGTTATATTCAGATTATTCCAAATATTATGAGAATTTAAAGACATTGTTATTGATCAGTTATTTTCATTTATTAATGTAAACTATGAACTGTTCTTAACATGAGGTATTTAATTTACTACAATAACAGATGTCTCCCAAACGTACTTTTCAATCTTTGGT